TTTTTTTTTTTTTAAGTTTACTTCTGAGAGAGAATCCCAAGCGGGCTCCCCGCTGCCAGCGCAGAGCCTGACGTGCGGCTTGAACTCACGATCCCTGAAATCATGACCTGAGCTGAAACCGAGAGCTGGACACTTAACCGGCCGAGCCCCCCCAGCGCCCCTAGTCGGTTTCTTTTTTGACACCAACATGACCCTGATCGTAAAACCAGGCAGACACACAAGGAAGGAAGGAAGGTGCCCAGCCCGTTGTGTGGATAGAGACGCAAAGAGTCTAAGAAAGGGCAAACTCAATCCAACGGCGTCTTCAAAACAATAGAACACCCCCCGTTCGAGGTGGGGTTCCTGGAAGCAGAGCCCGAGTCGGAAGCTGGGGGGGTGGGGGGCCGCTGAGCAAGGAGCTGGTCTCGGCTGGGAGACACGACCCTGAGCAGGAAGTGGACCCTGGAGTTCTGGCCCAAGGCAGGCGGGGTGTCACCTGTGTCTCCTCCAGAGTCTCAGCCCCACCCGAGAGGGGGCTGTAAGCTCATGGCTCGTCCCATCCAAAGGCAAGTCCCTAGCCAGGCATCTGCAGACACACTAGGAAGGCCCCGGGGCCCCGCAGCGTCCAGCTCGGTCAGCCCCCCACCCAGGACCTGCTTCTCCAAGATCCCAGTTGGTCACAGCCCTGGGGGAAACACGGAGGAGCGTCAGGATGAACGAGGCAGATGCTCACAAGGCTTATACCTCCGTGGTGCTCCGCTGGGGGTGATGCTGCCCCAGGGGCATCAGACGATGTGGAGACACTTGAGGTGTCTGTGCCGTGTCCCACAATCCCTCTCCCTGTCCCGGCAGTCCCAGCTTGTCCGCAGCTGGTGGTGGCCACTGGCGAGCGATGGGTCCGATTCATTCATTTGATCATTCAGCAACTATTGAGCACCCACTGTATGCCATGCACTGTTCCAACAGTCAAGGGGAGAGTGATGGCCCAGAGAGAGAAAAAATCTCTGCTCCTGAGGATTTGGGGAGGCGACAATCAGCATGATAAACATGGATGTCAGAGGGAGGTGAATGTTCTGGGGAAACATGCAGTGGGGAGGTGGGGGGTGGCGGCAACAATATCAGGAACAGTCAGAGAAGGACCTGTCTGCGGGAGTGACATTTGAGTAGAGGCATGAAGGAGATAGGAAAGTCAGGTCAGAGGCACGAGTCTTGCGAAAGCCAGGGCAAAAGTGATCCGGGCAGAGAGAAGAGCATGTACAAAGGTCCTGAGGTAGGACTGTGCCTGGCGGGCTAGAGGAAGAGTGGGGTGGTCAGCATGGATGGAGCTGAATGAGGGGGAGAAGGGAGGGGAGTGTGCGGTGAGCCTGAGCACACGGACACCCGGAAGGCATGGTGAGGACTTTGGGTTTTGCTTGGGGACGCAGGCTTCGCTGGGATCGAGGGTAATCATTAATGAGTCCCCCGCCCCGCTGAGAGGTCCACACGGGTTTTGGGGACAGGGATCTGGGAATCTGCTTTTCACTGGCCCAACTGTCTGAACAACGTGGGGTGGCCGTAGTCCGGGGAAAGGGTGGCGGTACCGGGCTCTCTCTGCACCTGGCACTGTCCCCCGCCATCCAAGGGGGACAGCACAATGGGCTCTAGAGGCGTCCCTCCAAAGATGGTCCCCGGCCCACCCAGGGTCAGCTCACCACGTGGGAACAATGACATCTAGCCCCTCGGACTTGTTTTTTCACTTAACATACGGAAGAGTGTAAGCAGTGACTCGGGGACAACACGGCCCCTCCCAGCCACCCGGCAGTGGCCACGTGCTTCCCTGTCCAGCTCAGAGCCGTGTCCATCAGACGCACCACGTCGCTGGAGGGGTCGCTCACACGGTAGTGTCTGGGGCTGGTGGACAGGATTCATTTGGCTCGTGCGCACCATCCACCGTCGATGGAATGGTCTCCAGCTTGTGGTTACTGCGACTCAAGCTGCCAGGAACATTCTAGAACCGGCCTTCGGTGAGCAGAGCTCTGGTTTCCCCGGGGCGCACACCTGTCAGAGAGTGCAGGGCGAGCATTTCTGAGTGTCGTGGGGTGGCTGGAAAGAGCCACGAGCACGCTGGGAGGCTTAACATCACAGACGTTTATTCTCCCACATTCTTGAAGCGGAGGTCAGGGTGTGGCAGGACCGAGCTCCTCCCTCGGCAGGCTCCAGGGCAAGTTCCTGTCCACCTGTCCCAACTCCTGGAGGCCCCAGGCGTCCCTGGGCTCGTGGCCGCGTCCCTCAAGTGCCTGCCTCTGTGGCCATGTGGCTGTCTCCTCTGTCTCCATCTAACAAAGACACTTGTCACTGGGTTTAGGGCTCACCTTGGTAATCCAGGATGATCTCGTCTTCAGACTCTTAGTTACGTCTGAAAAGGCCCTTTTGCCAAACAAGGTCCTGGTCACAGGTTCCGGAGACTAGGGTTCAGCCCGTCACTGTGTGCGTACCTTCATCTGGAGCAGATGTGGCCAAGCTGTACCCCAAAGTGGTCCCGCCAGTGCCCCCTGTGACCCGCATGTAACCCTGTGGGCTGTAGGACGGCCCGGGGCTCTCAGCGGCGGTGGGGGCCCAGGCCCTCCGTGGGTTAACCCTGGCTCAGGGTCAGAGAGAGTAGGCGGGCCCGGGGCAGGCATTAGGGGGGTGCTGGCCGCAGAGAATTAAAAATAGTAAGAAAAGCATCAGGACCCCAGAGCCAGCGTTCTGCGACGTCGTGGGGAAAACTTCAGGGCGCGAAGGAAACAATCGTTGCCAGAATCGCCATGTTACTGACGGGACGCAAGCTTCGAACTCGCATTTGTGTTCTTTACCCTTTAACAGACCCTGTGGGTTCAGAGAAGCCCCAGTGATGACCCACCTGCCGCGGCCAAGGGAGCTCGCTGCAGGGAAGTCTGACCGTCCTCGCTCGTGGTCCCTTCCGGCGACCACATGGGCACTGTGTATCCCCATGGGGACACAGGGACTGCTAAAAACCGAGACCGGGGATGGTAGAGAGGACGACACAGCCCTGGGGCCACCCCGTTTCTGTCATTCTCTGAACACCTGGAGTGCGTGTTCGTGTGCGGGATTTGAACATCTGTACAATTCCAGCGGCGTCTTCTCTCTCTTAAGTGTTCAAGTGTTTGTTTTATTTCCTTTTATTTTAATTTTTTAAATGTTTATATATTTTTTTGAGACAGAGAGAGACAGAGCATGAACAGGGGAGGG